CAAGGAGTATGATCCAAACTAGAACTTGGACCGTAGAAAACTTATACTTGAACATGAACTAGACTCAAATTTAACATTGAAGTTAAGCTAAATTAAGAAATCAAGTTGAATTCAAAATGAATTGATGAAGCTTGATGCAAGAGAACTTGAATTCAATTTTATGGAATGGTGTTTTAACTTAGCAAATACACCATTATATCAATGTAAATGCTAAGTAAAGACCTAAATCTTTCTGATGGATATTAATAATCAAACAAAAGGCTTGCGGATTTCAACATATCATGCTTATAATTAATTTAAGCTAATTGCAATGAATGTAACATCTTTCTCAAGCAAAGATTGAATGAAGAAAGTAATGATATGTCCACAATCAACATCAAAGAATCACATTGGAGTATTAAGGGATCAACATGCCAATCAACATACAAATATCAATGAAGGAAGTTACCACAAAAAATAGAAGGTATGTTCAAAGGCAATAAAAGATCCAATGGTTCATTAGCCAATACATGTGAAGGGAAGCAAAGTCTTTTTGACAGTGAGGCAAGCCGCATGTTGAGGAGGATGATTAGCATGTGATGTTTGTATAATTTATGCAAAAGATACAACAATCCTCACAAATAATGTGGTCTCCTACCGACAAGTTCATTTTAATATATGATGAATAATAGGAGACCCTACAATTAATGGCAATCCATTCGTGAAGGAGTGTGATAGTTCTCTAGATATAAAGAAAGTTGACTTGTAGAAGAATACAATAAACTTGCTTTTAGTCGAGAGCATTCTTTGTATATATATACGAAAGTACCTAACCAATACTAGAATATTCGCATAGTCCATATCAATATGATGGCAAGCAGATACATTTAAACCCCATAAGCAGAAGGATGCAATGACACTGTAGGGGATCTGTGCCACATTCAACATGGTTGGTTGAAAAGGGTTGATACATCAAGATGTGTTGAAATGAATGTCAGCGCACACTGTATAGATCCTACCAGAATTAATGATGGAAAATGTGTTGTTAAAAGATAATACAAATCTTGGTAATCTAAACCCATAACTGCAAGTAGAAAGTACAGACGTTACTCCAACTATGTCAAGAGCTACAACGATCATTTTTTGGATGAACATCTTGACGTCAGCAAGGGCACAATCATCCAAGATTAAGAAGATTGATTCTTTATGTAAGACAATAAAAAAAATGAGCATGAAGACATATTGGGGAGTTACTTGTTGGTTCTCATATGAATTTTGGGTAGAGAAAGCCAGATCCAGTCATTACGGAGTGAGCGAATCTCAGTTCAACCAGATCTTGAATGTTGAATTGGATAAGATTATTGAGGTTTACAAGTCCCTTGAGGAACAATGGTCGTACATCCAACACACCACTCATAGGAAAATGGTGAAAGAGCTACAATAAGTAAAAGTTCCTACAAGCTCTCATAGAAGACCCTTCGAATGTCCAAAATACCCCTGCACATGCACCATAGATTATATACACATAAGTACACTAAAATGGGTAAAAGCAATCATAAAACTTGCAGGTGCACCGACGAGCGTGTTATTGGTACACACATGGCGTTTAGAGATGCTGCGCCGGTCAACATGTGAATTCAAGTTCGAACCCGATCCTTCTATATGGATTAATAAGAGTCGATACGGTTCGAACCACTAAGCAAATATATGGTTGTGGCAATCGGTATATTTGTTTTAATATATTTATATTAAGCCTTTAAGGCCTGTAACAATAAGAATTTACTAATAAAGGCAAGTAGGTAAATAGGAGTAGACATGGTTCAAATCTTCGAATAAATATGTGGTCATAAAGTTGGCTGGAATATTTATTTTATACATTTATATCAGGCCTTCAAAGATTTTAACAAAGAAAATTCATAAATAAGGGCATAAAACCTAAGGAACCCGATCCTCTATCGATAATTTGATAGGGTTGACAAGGTTCAATCAAATGAAAATGACCCCAAACACCCCGATGATGACCTTGTTGAATGTAGATCTCAATCGGAGGGGTTCACAAACATTTTCAAGTGCCTCCCAAATTTTCAAATGCCTATTAGAACCTCAAAACTCCACCAAAATTTCCAAAATCCCAAAATAAAAAAAATTTAAAATTTAAAATTCAACAATCAAATACTCAAAGAAAAATCCATCCACCCTCCGTAATAGTTTGCTAAGGTGGACAAATTTAAAAATACTTCAGCTCACATAGAGCTAATTTCTAGTCAAAAATATCACTAGGATTCATTCTCAAATAATCTCTTCCCATTAAGGATGTGGTACGCATCTTCTAACCGGTGGTTTTGCCACCAAATGACATTGCAGGATAAACGATTATGACCTAGGGCCCATTGAACAAAGTGGGTTTTTTGGCCAAATGGTATCACAAAATACTGGTTATAGCCAGAGCCACTACGCTCCTTAGTGGCATCAAATCCTTGAGATATGAATCAATAGGATAAAATTGATAGTGCACAAATCCCTTTATTAACTAAGGTGGATTCAAATTTGTCTCCTTAGATAAATATTCATCCCAGGTCTATAAGGTACCCTTGGATGAAGCAACCCATGGCTGCCTATAAGGATCCTTCTATTTGGTTGGGTCGACTACCTCCTTTGACTAAGTATACCAGGGACCACGATGGCCTGGGATGACAGAACCATGAGATCTTGATCGGGTCTATAATCCTTTCCCCCACCATCCTCTTTAAGTATGTGATGGTGAAATTTTTATTTTAAATATGAACTCTTCCCAAATCTACAAACTTCCAAACATTTCAATTCCCAAAACCCATCGTTGCTACTATATGCCAGATAACACATATTTATATGTATCTGATTGACGACAAGGCTTACTCAAAAGTTCTCTCTCGTTATCTGGAGGGGTAATTATTTATAGGGCTTACGCCTATAGGAAACCAGAACTTAGATCATAAAGTCCTTGCTAAATGAGGGTGAAATCTCTGGGCAGTGTCTTATCTACAAATCTGCCTTCCAAAATTTACCCCAGAACTTAAATCCGTTAAAACTGCCTCGTCGAAGAAAAAGCATGCAGTGTGGGCAGAGACCGGGGCCAAATTTTTGGAGCCCATACATTTCTGGCGACTCCACTAGGGATTTGTTTCTCTTTCCATCTTTGGCTAGTCATCTCAATATCAATTATATCAACTTATATCAAAATTTGGAATCTTTCAAAATGATCATTTAATGAATCAAAGTCCTAAATTTTCTAAAATGATAATTTATCCAATCCATATGGTATTTAGTAGGATTTTAAATTTATATTATTTTTATCGCTTGCTAATGTTTATTTGTTTTATTTCTCTGTTCTGTATAATTCTCTGCATTTTAAAAGTGTAGGGTAATGTATAAGATTCTGATTACTAACCCTTGCCTTTCATTTATGCAGATGGATCTACAGAACACCCTGATGACCGTCTAGTTGGGATGAGGAGCCAGGATTCAGTTGGTAAATGATGTTATTGAAACTGGAAATACTGGGGCTACCATCTAGTTTGGTAGCATTGATTTCCCTGTTATTGTTGCAAAGATTGCCACCATTCATGTGAATGGCAGGAATACTGAGAGGTCTACCAAGAAACTCAATGCTGATGAAGTTCACATCCATCGTGTGCACCTACCGACACAACAACTTATTACTGAAAATTCTCTACTCAATCCTCGAAAAAGAAGAAAGCAAAACAATTGAAAGACCTGGGACCGATCAATGCTTCTACAAGAAGTCGAAGAATGGATATGGAAGGAAAAGGTAATTTGGGGAATAATCTCCATACTCCTTTTAAATGAATTCTATATGTTTTTGGCATTGTAGGGGAGCAAGGAAAAGAAGTGCTTCCCTCTACCTTAAAGAGGTAGTTAAAAATAATGGTGTTTGTTTTGTGGGATTGGTTGAAACCAAAATTAATGATATTGAGAGAAGTGAAGTTGATGCTTTAATTGGGAGCAATTGGGACTTTTTCTGTGTCCCATCTTCTGGACTTTCAGGACGTATGCTGATTTTGTGGAATACAAGTGCAGTGAAATTCTCAGTAGAGGAGAGTTCATCAAAGATGGTTATTGGTGAAATTAACATGTTCAACAATGTAAGATGGAAGGTGTACACAGTTTATGGAAGCACTGATTTAAACAAGAGAAGAGAAATATGGAATATGATAAATATATATTCCAATCTTGATTGTCCTATGGTGATTGGTGGGGATTTCAATTGTCTTATATGCAAAGAAGACAAAGTTGGCGGTAAGAAGTTTGCTTATCATCAAGGATCAAGGGAGATGGAAGAATGTTTGTTGAACAATGATCTTCATGAAGTTAGCTTTATCGGCCCAAGATTTACTTGGTGTAATAACAAAGTTGGTGGAGCTAGAATCCTTAAAAGATTGAAAGATTGGATAGGTGCTTTGTAAATTCAATGGCTCTAAGCTCCCTGTTTCAATTGATTGAGCGAAATTTGGCTAGAATAGTCTCGGATCATTTCCCAATACTTCTCCTAGTCCGATCATTTAACAAAATTGTCAGCAAAAATATTAAATTCAAAAATTGTTGGGCATCATACCAAGCATCCTATGGAGTGGTAAGAAAGGAATGGTGCAGGAATTATCAAGGAAATTATTCACAAATTCTTAACAAAAAGTTCAAAAAGGTCCTTAAAATCCTTATTCTATTGGAGCAAATTTAAGCATAAAGAACTGAACAAGTTGAAAGAAGATCTCATGAAGGATATTTTCGAACTTCAAAGCAAAGAATCTTCACTTAGATAGCTCATGGATCAAGACTATTCGATCCTTAAAAAGAAGGTTTTGGAACTTAATACTACCTTGGCAAGGTTGAATACATGGTGGAAGCAAAGGGCTAAAGTTAAATGGCTCAATGAAGGTGATGGTAATTCCAAAATTTTTCACAATTATGCTAGTGCTAGAAGAAATGCCAATAATATAATAAAGATCAAAGATAAAGATGGTAATATGGTTGAAGATCAAGATCTTATGGAAGAAGTATTCATGCGATTCTTTCAAAAGAAATGGGAGTTCAGAAACTCCAATTTGGATGGTTGGCCAGCTCCTACCGCTTACTTAAATGATCAGGAAAGAAGTCTGTTGGAGATGGATATTTCTATGGCTGAAGTTCTTCATGTCTTAAAACAATTGGAAGAGAACACTTCTCTAGGTAATGATGGCATATCTAATTCCTTTATTAATGTGTATTGAATTATTATCAAGGAGGACTTTTGGTTAGCCTTAAGTCAGTTTTTTAAATATGGTGAAATGAGTAAAGAATGGAAAGAAACTCTTATTATTCTTATCCCAAAGATCGATAATCCCACTCTTCCTTCTAATTATAGACCAATTAGTCTTTGTAACACTGTGTACAAAGTGGCGGCTAGAATTATTTTAAATAGACTTAATTTGGTCATTCCTAAACTTATATCTTTGGAGAAACGACTTTTATAAAGAGGAGATCTATATCTGATCATATCTTGCTTGCACAAGAAATCTTCCACAAACTTAGAATTTCTAAAGCTTCTTCATGTCTTGTTTCTTTCAAAGTGGATATGGAGCAAGCCTATGATTTTATGGCTTGGATTTTTCTTAAAGAAATATTGAATTATTTTAAATTTCCTCCTAAATTTTCCGAGCTTATCATGGATTATGTTGTAGACCCTATGTTCTCTATCATCATTAATGGAAACTGTTCTAAATGGGTGCATGCTAGAAGCGGTTTTCGGAAAGGCTGCCCTCTATCTCCCGTTCTTTTCATACTTTGCTCTCAACTACTGTCTAATGCATTTAATCATAGTTCTTGTGGTATCAAGATTTTCCCTGATGGACCTCCAATTTCACATCTTTTGTATGCGGATGATGTCATTATGTTTTCCAAAGCTAATAGGAAGGAGGTTTTGGGAGTGAAGAAAATTCATAATAATTTCTGTGAATGGACTGGAAAAAAAATCAATTACAGCAAATCTATCATTTTGTTTAGAAAACATGTGGATAGAAGGAGGAAGAGAAGCTTATCTAAAATCATGGGATTTAAATATGTGAAAGAATTCCTTTACCTTGGAGTAAAGATGGCTTTGAGGAGACTTAAGAGAGAAGACTTTAAATTCATTATTGATAAAGCTTTGAAGAAGCTCAATCAATGGGGAAGCAAAAGTTTATCTATGCCGGGCAAGTTAACTCTAGTAAATTCTGTTTTGCTAGACCTTCCTATATACCATTCAGCACATTCTTTGGTTCCAAAAAAATTGTTAGCAGACCTGGATAAAATTTGCGAAGACTTCATATGGAACAAGAAAAATGGTTCCAAAGGCCTGCATTACATGAGTTGGAATGATATGTGCAAACTAATTGAATATGGTGGCCGGGGATTACATTCTAATTTAACAAAAAATCCTGCTTTGCGGGCTAGACTCGCATGGAGATTTGTTCAAAATGAGCATTCATTTCTACATTCTATGATGGATGCCAAATATGGTAATAAACTGCTTCAAGGAAATTATAGTAGGAATGATTCGAGTGCTTTTAAAATTCTGAAAGAAGGTTTTAAAACTTTAAATTCTATTGTGAAATGGGCTATTGTGGATGGTAAATCTGTGGATGCTTTCAAAGATACTTGGATACTTGATAAAAGTATTAACAAATGGCCTACATTTGTTATTCCTATTGATGACAGCCCGGTTATGGTTGAGGAATTTATATCTGAAGGAAATTGGGATGTACAAAATCTGAGCAAATTCTTTGGTAAGGAGCTTATTGAAATCATCATGAAGACCCAGATTTTCAAAGATAAGGAAGCTGATTTCTTGGTCCTGATTAATCAGAATTCTGGTATGAGAATTCCTGGATTAATAAGGAAAGAGGAGGCTAATGGCTTGGAAGAAGATCTATTGTGGAAATGGATCAAGAAAGCAAAGTTGAATTCTCGGGTAAAGAATTTTTGGTGGAGATTGAAGAGGAATGCAGTCCCTTCAATGCATTTCTTATGGTATAGAAGGATTGCTCAAAATGCTAATTGTCCAAGAGGATATGAGTGTAATGAAGATATAGAACATATTGTGTGTGGCTTCTTGAAGATCAAAGAGGTTATTCAATACTTGAACCATTGGGTTTTCGGCTTCCCATTGTTTAATTCTATTGAACAATGTTTCGAATGGCTGGAAAATAATGTTAACAGGAAAGGTGTGATGGTTAAACTTTATTGTACTTTGGTGTTTCTATCTTGGAAAAGTAGAAACAAGAGGATACATGGTAGAGTAGAAGATAATTCCAGCTTTATTGCCTCCGAGGCTATTGTTCAAGCTTCGGTATCCAACAATTTCAACCATTCTAATTTGGGCTTTTGGGATGTTAATCAGTCGTTAAGACTTTCTAATGCTCGGCATCCTCCTCCACCCAAATGGATGAAAGTTAATGTTGATGCTTCTCTCATTTTTTCTTACAAGGCGGGTATAGCGGCTGTTTTCAGAGATAGTAAAGGGAGATTCCTCTTTGCTTATGGAAAATCACTTATACATTGGGATATTGCCCAATTGGAGCTAATGGCAATCAATTCTATTAAAGAGGAGCTCAAGGAGTGGATGTTCAATTATGATGGCATAATCATTGAAGGTGATAATGCTAACATTATTTCTTACTTCAATATGGCACAGAATAAAAGGGAGCTAAAGGATGATGGTATGGAATTTCTTTCTAAATTCAATTTTGTTATATTTAATTGCATTAATAGAGAAAGTAATAAGTTAGCAAACTTTTGTGCTAACTATGCTTTAATAAGTAACTTTTCTTGGGTTGAGTGTTTGGCTAATAAGGTTCCTCCTTCTTTTTTTAGTATTTTGAAGGAGGAATCTAAATTGTAGTTGCTCTTTCTTTTTTAATGATAATTTAGCTTCGGCTTCTTTCAAAAAAAAAAAAGAAAAAAAGAATAAGAGGTCTATTTATGATTGTTTAGAGAGTGACATGACTAGTAAATAAGGAGAAGATCAAGGGCATGCTTAGAGTGCTTAAATGGACGACCGATATTAACTCCCTTGATTATAGACCATTTATTGAGCATTTGAGTGCTTTAATGATGTAAGAGTTCAGTGATCATGGGCTCATTTGTTTCGTCTCATTGAGCTGGTTGATTCGACTATAAGTATGTCATATTTGAATATCTTTTGGCAATCCAATTAATGTTTTGAAGTTTCTAAATAGACTTTGTTCATTTCATTTGAGCCTGTTTAGGATCAGATTTGAACAAGTTTGGTGTCATTGGGTTTCTCTCTTTGAGATGTTCAAGTTGTCTATAAGAATGTTGAAATCAGAGCTTGAATGGTCCTGATTTTAATTTTTGAAGCCTCTAACTCATCTTTACATCGAGATTCATGCCCAACCTAGATAATGTTTTAATTATATATCATTACATAACAAAATACTCTAATCCAATTGATTTAGATAATTTTCATCTGTAATACCTAAAAAGGAAAATTATAGTTAGATATGAATATCTCGAATTAAGATATGATTGTGATAATTTGTTTTTTAAAAATTATATTTTAAAATGAATGTAATATAAAAATTGATCATTTATTCATAAAATATATCAATTTTAAAATAAATTAAATTAATTTTTATTATGATTAAATATGATTTTAATATTCTAATATGATTTTTGCACATAATAATATATTATAATGCAAAATTTATATATAAATAAATATTCTAATCACATAGTCCATCTATGGGTTGTGAGCATTGGCTATCAATTTAGAGGTCTTAGATTTAAATCTTACATGTATGATAAGTATGAATTTGACCTAATTGATCTAAATGTCCCCAAAACAAATTATAATAAAATTTTTCTACATAATAAAATATAAGCAAGCATGTTCCTTTTGCCTGAGCCAACTAGCTGGCAATAGTATCGAACAAAGACACTACAATTAAAAAATATGGAGATAAAACTGGAAAGAATTATATTTTGGCAGTTTGTAGGCTTCAAAAGTCAGTGGTGCAATAGTTACAGCACATGCAACTGTTTGTCTGCTGTTTCCCATATGAAAATACTAAAATAAACCACATACCTCCAAAACACAATGATCTTTCTTTCTTTTGCTTCCTAGACGTCATTTGTGTACCAATAACACGCTTGCTGGGGCCCATACAAATATTTTAGAATTTTATTGATTTGACATACCCCTTTGCATACCTATGTGTATACAAGATACAATGTATTTAAAAAATATTTGGAAATGCCTTCTGTCAGCTTGCATGAATATTGCAGATTCAGTGGCGTAGCATTGTAAAAGCTTTTGGATTGAATTTTTTGTTGCTTTCTACAGGTAGACTGTCGTGCACTACTTGTATGATTTATGTAGGTAGATTGTAGTGCACAAACTAATGTCTTGCTTTATGATATAGATAGTTATTTCCATCGTAGTCCTTTGTATTTTGCTTCTGGAACATACATGTTGAATGTATAATGGGTCTTCTATAGCAGCTTGCAGGAGCTCATATCTGTTGTAATTCTCATTTGTATTTGTTCTTAGATGGAACTTTGTGTATGTGACAGGTCTCCTATGGTGATTCATAGGAGTTTGCATTTACTACCAACCTCTTCATGCACATTGATTCGTAGGTTGCTTTATCCACTTGCATATTGGTTGCTGCATATATCTACAAGCCCACAAGTATTGATTGGTGGGATATCATTGTATTCATTGCATATCCCTTGAGTTCATTTGTATGTTAGTAAGAGACTTTGTTGTTTGGAGGGACTACTATATTTTCTTGTGAAATTGACAAGAAGGCTTTGAAATATTTATAGGAAAACCCTACACTACTAGTTGTAGGAATATTTCCATGTTCCTCATTTAGTCATTGCAAGCACATCACTTTGATTGAGTGACTTGAGCCACATCAATTTCACCACTCCTTGTTCATGTGGTAATTTTCATTTGGGTGAATATGATCGTTCCTCTATGATTGTGTATCTATTATTCGGAGGTCCAATCCATTGCTTAGTGACTTGTGTCATGCTTCTCTATATGAATTCTACATTTGATTTTGATTGAGAACCCATGCATGTCAATTAATGCTTGTATATCACAAATGACTTTTTTTTATTTGATTACATTTTTATTTGATTTTTGCTTGTATGTGTTATCGATCTGTCATGCCTATTGATAAATAACACATTGTATGTTGGTATTTGCATTCTTGAAGACCTTCAACATTTGTGGAAAGTCATTATCTTCATATGTTGATTGATCACCACCATTGGAAAGGACATCATATGTTGCATCATGTGCATCTACCCTTCATTTGTATGCACTTAAGAATTGATTCTCATGAGTCCTATGTTGTTCAATTCATTGATATTTATTTGAATGTCTTGCCTCATCATTTATTTGAGTTCAAATTTGTTCACATTATGCTCATTATCATTTGTTGCATGTGCAAGCTCAAACCACATGTGTTTAGCTCGGTCTAGAGTACAAGTTCAAGTCAAAACCCCTGGCACCAAGCTTATTTGAATTCAAGTCAAGGTTCAAGTTCAAGTGCTATTCAGACTTAAGATGAGCCTCTTCCCCTCATTTGACTCCCCTGTGGTCCAACAAAAGTTCTTTGCTTGAGTTCAAATTTCAAGCTCAAGTTCTATGTCCACAAGTTTGAGTTCAGTTCGAGTTCACCTCATTTAATGTTCAAATGTAGTTTCATTATTATTTACTTATGTTTGATTTCTTTTGAAATTTGAGTTCACTTAAGTTCATTGCATTCAATGAAGTCCAAGTTCAAGTTCATTTTTTTTATTCAAGTCCTTGTCTGATTTCAAACAAAATTTTGACAGCCTCCCGATGTCTCCCCTGTTTAACTAAGAGGCAGCCTTCCCCTCGATGCTACATGAGCGCTTCAGGTAGGTGTTAAAAATGACACCGCAGTTGCATATTTTTGTTAAAATCCCCGTCTGCTACGTAAGAGTATAAGGGTTGTTTGAGTTTTTAAAAGAGCACAGTTTATTTTCCCCCTCTGCACTACATGAGCATTTGGGAGTACTTATTATATAGGGATAGATTTTATTTTAGTGAGGGGGGCTGGTTATTGATTTAAGCTATGGAGCAAGGAGATCATGAGGGGGGGTGACGACTCTGGTAAGGAGAACTCTTCTTCTCTCTCTCTCTCTCTCTCTCTCTCTCTCTCTCTCTCTCTATCTGAGATCAGGACAGGGTCTTGGTCAAAGTAGGTCAAAGAGGGCGACGGCAAGGTGGGAGCTCGGGGCTAGCTTCGGCTTAGAGGAAGCAAAAGTCAGAGCTTCGATTTAGAATGGAACAAGTGTTGGGGTTGAGGTGAGGGCTTTGAAGCTTGCAGTAAGGAGGGAGGAAGAAGGGAACTGAAGGTTTCTATCATGTGAACTGGACAGGGTCAGATAGGTGTCGGGATTCCTGGAGGTTATGGTGTCAAGGTTTGAGTGTGGGAAGAAAAAATACCACAAAGGCTTTATTTTGCTTTGGTATTTAATGATGATTGTGAGGTCCGATCGAGGTAAGTTGCAGGATTTTTGAGAGATAACGCAAACGGTGCCAAATTTCCATGATTTCAGTAGGATTTTGAGGATCTGACAGGTATGAGATGTATACATTGAATTTCTTCTTTCTTACTTTTTTTTTCTTTGTACATAGGCCAACAAATGCCCCCCCAATAAATATGGTATGCATATAGAGCGAATCATGTTTATTGTATGATGATTAATTATGTGGATATCTAAATATTTGTTCTAGATGTCACACAAAAAATTTCATTCAATGGATTTCCAAAAAACTTATTTGGATGTCACACTTATTTTCTTTGAGTGTATCTCCAAAAATTTACTTGGAGGTCACACTAAGAGTTTTATTCTATAGATCTCCAAGAACTTGTTTGGATATCACATAGAGGTTTTCATTTAGTGGATCTCCAAAAGTTTTCTTGGATGTCACACTAAGATTTCATTTAGTCGATCTCCAAAAGTTTATCTCTGTGCCTTCATGAATCTTGAGATGCTCTTGTAATCTTCAATATAGTTGATATAATTTCTCTTAGTCAAGTAGAGATCCATGGGGTAGTGATAGAGTGCTTCATACTCAGATCCCTAGAGTGTTACTCCATAGATTAATGATAGTATATATCACTATCACTTTGTATTCTTCTTTTGGCACCACTGTCACTTTAGTTTATAACTTTTCTGTATACACTCAACATTCTTCTATCATCTTGTTGTATCTTGGCATAAGTTTAAATATTTATTTGGGAAACTCGACATGTGGCATGAAGTCGATCCAAATAAATATTTAAAATGCCCATAGTCTTTAGGGATATTTGTAGATGTCATTCAGGGTGCTCATTCTGCAGCATTGGCTTAAACCCTGAGATTTTGATTCTTCTATCCTACTCTTTGTATGATGAACTTGGTGAAAGGTTATCTGATTTGTCTTTACTGACTTATCAGAAGATTTATATGCCTTCTGCCCTTTGCTTCTAGCTTTGGTGGGCTTGATGAAAGGGTAGATGCCAGTGACCTAAACCATTTAGGTTTATATTAGGTCGGTGGCAAGAAGTCATCGATCCAGGGCTTTTTGCATGGTGGACTTGTTGATGACAAAATCCCTTAGTCCAGCATAAGGCTTTGTGTGAACTTTGGCATAATTTTCTTCGATCCT